TGAGGGAGTTTCGCTGGCAACGAAAGTCGTTGTGGAAGGCTCCTCTGCAACGGTTGAACTTTGAGAATCTGTGGAAGAAGAAGTCACCATTTCTGAACAAAAGCACATCCAAAGAAGACAAATTTCCCCTCGTGAGCATGACGAAAAAGCACCCGCGAGAAGCAGATTCGCCAAAACTCCATCAACAACGTCGCACCACAACCTACCCTGATCGCAAAGCGGGCCTTCGAAACCAGCCTCGCAGGAGCCAGCGACACAAGAGCCATCCAGACTGGTCTCGTCACAAGTGCCATGAACACAAGTGCATGTCATGCTGCAATCCGAGCCGTACGTGCCGCTGTCGCAAGCACACGCGCCAGTCTCCGACACACACGAGCCGCTGCCACTGCAAGTGATGGCGGGCGAGCACGAAATGTTGCAAAAAGGTCCATAGTGATCGCTCGTACACGCAATCTGAATGTTGTAGCTAATGGTGCTGGTCCAGGTGGTGGTTGAAGCTGCTCCGGCTGTGGGTGACGGAGCAATGGATTGCGGCATGGCCGAAGGGGTCGCGCTGCCGCCAAACTCGTCGGTTTGGCCCCACACCATCACCGAGTTTTCACGGTGGAGGAAGGCGACCAGCTGGTCTGGTGCCAGCACGGCGTCAGCAACGCGGTATACGTAAACATCGAAATTGTACGGCGTCTGCGGAAAAGGTGAGCGTGAGTATGATGACATTTGGGCACAACAGTCACACGCGGTCCTCTCCAACTTACAAGCACAGCGCTCGGATTGCTGTAAACAACGGAAGGCGGAGAGATGGAGCCGGTCTCAGGGACCGTGAACACGGGGGTTGTGGTGGTTTGGGCGCAATCGGAAGGATTGACTGTAGCGTCGCGAATGCACACTGTTGCATAAAACTGCGTCGTGTTGACGACAAGCGCGGACGGATCCGAAGGGACCAGGCCCAGGTTGTAGAGCATCAGAGTCTGAGACGACTGAGCGGTAGCGTGTTGGCAGCACAGCGCCGCCAGCAAGAGTAGCACGACCAGACCCGACCTAGTCCTCGACATGATGCGGTTGACTCCAGGTCGGCTCGTTGTTTGCCTCGTGTGCTTTTGAGCTTGACGATGAATTGATTGAGGATTGATTGAGGATGAGTGCGGTTTCTCTAACTTCAAAAGTAGCTCCTATGCGCTGACAAGAGCGATAGGCAGATCAATCCGCACAATTAAGTCAGTACATCACCAGTTGCATTCGGTTCAACCATAGCTGCACAGTGTCCGTGGCGACATGCCGGGTGATGCAGATTCCAGTAGAATGTCCCCCCAATTCCTCCATTCCTCAGTTCCAACCTTGGACATCCAACTCCCAGCGTCAATGCACATTCATTGAATGGACTGGATTGTTCATTCCTCATACATTGGAGTCAAAGTTCAGTCAAAGCAAGAAAAAAAAAGAGAGCAAAAAGTAAGAATGAAAAGTAAGAAAAAAAAACTCGAAACAAGTGCGTCAAAAGTCGGAATGAAAAAAAAAAAAAAAAAAAAAAAAACCCATCCTCAAAATTCAGCCACGCGTGAGCGGTATTGAATGAGCATTGGAGAGAAGGAGAGAGACAGGGGAGTCCCTTGGGGAGTTGAAACAACGGATGAAATGATGATGAAGAAGAAGAGGGAAGATGGAAGATGATTGTGAGCGGTGTTTGGGGGGTGTGGGGGTGGGCGGGAAGAGCGAGAGAGAGATGGAAAGAGCGGGAAAAGAAGGGCAGAGAAGAGAGAACGATCGACAGCGATGCTCTCTCATTGAGAAAGGAGAATGAGAGTCAAGTGAGACTTGGGAAGAGTGAAACAGTGGCAGAGACACCAGAAGGAAGGAGCAAAAGGAAGGGGCGGGAGAATGAGGAAACGGGTCAAACAATGTGAGACAGCGACCGACGCGGTGATGTGCGCTGGCGCAAAGCGACAACCCCCCCCCCGAGAATGTTAAGCACACTCCTATAATGCAACATGAGAATGCGATTTTGTGAGTGTGTGGGCAAGTGTGGGTAAGTGTGGGAGATGGAGTGACACACTGCAGAGCGTGCGGTTTTGGTGGGGATTCAGCCCACAGACCACAGACATGACCCTTCCTCAGTCTTTTTCATCCCAGCATTGGCATCGACGGACTCCCACTGCCAACAATATAGTAGATCAACAATTAAGAAGGGAGTATTCACAGACTGGACACGCATGGATGAGTGGTTTCGATCGCCTTTGTTCTCCACCACCACCACCCTTGTATGCCGCAGGAATGAAACCAAATAAAAAAAATAAAAAAATAATGAAACAAGCCTATCGAGTGGAGGCAACGAACAGAGCCCCCTCTCTCATGCTGGTCATCGGAGAGCAGAGCAACAGTGATAAAAGTCGAAGAGGAAGCGACTGGCAAGAAGGGAGCGCCAGAGCGAAGCAAGCAAGCGAGAAGAGACGAGAAAGAGTTGAATAAATACAATGATAAAAAAATAAAATAAATACAAACTCACTTGAAACAACGGTGGAAAGAGGAGACTGAGCAGCTCACTAGGAAAAATGACCTATACTAACAGATTTGGATAGGATTTTTCCCCAGCCTCGCCGCGTTGGAAATAGAAACTAGAATGTATGTGGAGTATTCTAAAATTGAAACGGAGGCGAACGGACGCCGGGGAGTGGAGATGGGGCGGAGGGAAGGTCAGAGACTGGAATCGCTGGCGGGCTTCGCTCGGGTGCCCTGCCCGACCTGAGCTGTTTCTGGCGGAAATTCCAAAAGGGTATCCTTATAATATCGTGTAAACTCGATTGCGCTTGAAAAAACGGCGCTCCGAGCACTTGGCGTGGCCTGAAGCCCAAACAAGCGATTTGCCCTGACGAGTAGACACGAGCCATCACCTCGCGGATGGTATTTTCGGATTTCCCATGCAAATTTAATGTGGGTTACAATGGTTCGTCGGTCATAAAAGTCTCGAATGGAAGTCACCAGGCTAAAACTCGAATTTTTTCGAACTTGGAAAAAATTTCCTTCCAACCCACCCCATTTCGACAAAGCATGTACAAACCTCCACTTTCGGCTGTACTTTGTGTTTTTACAATGTCGGCAATATACTGATAGTGGTGAAGCGGGATAAAGTCGACGGGAAGATGGTCATTTGCGACCCCTCCAAATCGGTGTTTTTGAGGGGTGGTTTGCACTTCACCCATACAGGAGGATATAATCGACGGTCTGATGATGGGAAATCATCTAACCCATCTCCAATATGCTGGAAAGCGTGCCGGTGAAAAAATAATTATGATTGGAGCCGAGATCGGCACAGTCGGCTTTTGGGGCCAGGTTGGCATATTTTGGCCAAAACTGCTGCAAAGCTGTCCGAACACCTGGAATTTGCTATTTCCTCACTATGCAACTGTGCTCGTGTGGTGGGAGGAGGATTTTAGGGTGTACATGGCGTGAACGGCGAGCTGTCAGGGTTTCGGTGTCGTTTCGGCCGGGTCGCATTTGAACTCGTATCTCCAACTCATCTTGTTGTTACATCTCCCTCTTCTGGAATACGGTTTTCCACACGAAATTCCATGTCTGGAGGCCTTGGATGGTGGTAAAAACGAGCTCAATATCGCTGGGCGGGTTTGCCGCGATTTCAGGTGAACAAAAGGCGTTCCTGGGTTTCTGACCGAAAGCGAGGTCTCCCGGCCGTCCTAGAGCTTCAGCAGTATATTCATGCATACCAAACGTCGGAAACATGGTTGAAAGCGGATGGCATCGAGGCTACGACCCCAGAAGCACATCATGGTCGTTTTGTTGAATTCTCGTCCAGGCCATGAATACGCCCTTTCTGCGGCTCCTCACCTGGTTCCATCGCCGCCCGCAGGCGATTCAAGTGTGCGCTGGTTCCATATAGCTGTGGCTTGAATGGCGCAACCTCTAGTGGACCCTGAGTACGGAAATTGGTTCACAGTCAAATCGTGGCACTTTGCCAACAGGTAACAGAACACAGCGTTTCGGAGCCCTGAAGGCCCTTACATCCGCTTTATCACCAGATTCCAAGTTTTAATGTTGTCTTACGCCAAAATATAGCATGCTATGACATGATCTTTGACCAGTTGGGTGATTCGGGCCTCCGAGCCCGTTTGGGCGGAAAATCCACCGAATATCGGAGCGCATGGCCTCTGAGGACCTTCCATGGCGATTCCTCTGCTGGAGCAAGTAGTTCTATGTTCGTAACACCTGTGGCTAGCGCGGCGCCGCGATCCCGTTGGTCTAGATGGAGAAGCGCGCGTGAGACGCCGCTGGAGCACCGATTTGAGCTGGATTCCATACACTGCCCACTTTCGGGGCCACCATCGTAGATTGTTCACTCTCGCTCGGGATTCCTGGTTTAATATGTGTTGTACTCTGTTTGCCAAAGTTTCAAAGGATTGACAGTCTTGTATCGTGAGATCGTTGGGTTGGCAGCACTTTGCGCCGGTTCCGGACGACGGCCTCCCACCGAGTCCCTTGACCTACCACCTGCCCTTCCTTTGCGCTTTCTAGCAGCTGACTGGGTTTTATCTTTGATTTATGACGCTGGTAGGTAAAGTAGGCCGTGTATTACGAAATCGCCACCAGCTGGCTGATTTTCAGGGGGTGGTTGGCTCTGTGTTGGACAGTATCTATACCGCTCTTACTTTTCCAATTGTTAGTCATCTCAATGTTTTGCTCAAATCCAAAGTTTGAGCCCAAAATCTCACTCCTGCTGCTCAAGCCAGGCCTCCCAAAGACGTGGTGTCGCGAACATCACGTCCTTGAATCCCGAAAATTTTGCTTAAAATTACTTCTATTGTATATGTGTGATTGTTTTCTGCAGTTGTGGTGAATCCAAGTAGACCCCATGTCGAGAGCCGGGTCGACTTTCGGCCAATGTGAATTCAGCAAAATCTGCATAATTGGGGGAATCCGGCACTTCCATGTTTTTATTGGTCCAAACATGTTCATTAGTGTCTATAAACATAGTCACATCGAAAAAGCGCCGAAAAGTGGGGTGGAGGGGGGACTTGAGGTCGAGGTCGAACGTAATGCAAATGACTGGGGCAAAAATCCCCAAAAATGACCACCATGCCCAACCTACTTTCCATCGATATTTTTACATTGTTAGATAGAACAAACTTTGGCTGATCCGAATCTTGAAAAATCGGCTCGCAAGGTCCAAACCCCGAAGTGCAGTAAAGGCGCAAAGTTCGCTTTTTGCCTCGGTTCGGTTCTGGGGAAAAAATTCTACGTCTCTCTACTCAGTCCTACCGTCCCGCCAGTTAGTACATTCGACTCGATCTGGTACTGACTACACGTTTCTGGTGGTGCGAAGGCGCGCGGACGCAATGGACCCCAATGGCGGCATTGGGTGGTCGGGGGCCTGGCCTGGCCGTACTATTGGTGCCCCGCCCTTTCTACGTTGTATGCTACTAGTGCTAAGTATGAACTATCTATTGCTACAGTAGGAACGGTGCAGCTCGCTCGGGAGGCCCGCTATCGGGCTCCGAAGATTGACGCATTTGGGCTTTTGGGCCCGCCGCCTCGCCGCTGCCGGCCCGGTACCCGCGGCTCCACACTACAGTGATGTTGTACAAGTGTGTTGTGCATGAAAACAGTGCCAGGCGGCCGATCGGCGGACCTTTGGGGTGGAGGCACCCAGCGTCGGTGCTACCAACCCAAAGTCACACCAACCAGTCGACCATGACATGTCTTCCCGCCCCAGTGACACTTGCACAACATATTATAGCATGTTGCCACACGTACCAAGCAGGCAGTCCGCGGCAGGGCTCGAGGGGACCACGAAAGGCCGCTGGGGCACTGGAGTTCCTTGGAGTCTTGGCAGAGCCGGCTTCCCATTGACTTACCTTGGGGTGGGAACTGGTGACTTACCTGAAGGTGGCTCTGTTTCTTGATGATAGCATCGGTGGAGGGTCGCGGACGCCTATGGAACCATCACCAACATGTGGGGAAGAAAGTGAGAAAAAAAGTCATTGTTTCGTTCAGCACAGCGTACAGTCTAGGCCAGCAGGGTCGTGTGCGGCGCGGCGCGGCGCGGCGCGGGTGCAGGTCGACTACGGGGCATCATTGCAGTGTGAGTGGGGCGGCTCGTGCAGCGTGCAATCACAGGGCAGGGCACAAGTTGGGGAATGGAAAAAAAAAAAGAAAAAAAAAAGACACGATCGCTTGTTTCAAACTGCCGGTTTTACCTTGGTCAAGTTCCTGATGCCAGTGTTCGTGCCAGGTCGTCGCCGCATTGGATGCAGATAGAGTTGACAGATGTACACACGTGGCCAAAGAGGCACGGTCGCATCTGCAAGGACGAGGCGAGTACACGCAAGTGAATGGCCGAAACAAGAAAGCCGTTGAAACACGGTTGAAACACGCGCCACATCGAGCCTCCACGACGCCCTCACGATGCTTCTCACTGTCTGTGTGCGGTTCTACATATTCCATGCGATAAGTGGACGAGTTTCCGTCAAATACCCGGGCCGGGAGCGTCAAGGAGGAGGGGGTGGTGGTTGAAGAGTGAAGTCCCCAAATTTGGTCGCCATTTATCCCTTCCCTCCCTGGCTTCTGGTCGACTTTTCTCGGTTTTTACTTTGTCCATGTGTAGAGTTTACACCCTATCGTGCACTGAATTTGGAAGCGGGGCGATGAGGCGCGGGGAAGAGCCTCAATAGCGACGCACAGGACTGGAAAATTTGAACTTTGTAATTTTTCGCGCCATGTCGCTTTGTCGACTTTTCCCCGCCTGACAAGGTCTGTTTGCACCGGGTTGTTGGTGGTTATTGGTGACGCTAATATATGCCCATTAATTGCCCAAAGGTTGGGCGGAGCCGGAATGAGTGACAGCCTCAAACAGAAGGTCTTGTTCAAATTATAATCGGCCAGACGACCTTACTTCTTTGACATGTTTTTTAGTAAATTTACTTGTTTGAGTTGCCTATCCACCCTGCATCTTGATTCCAAATATCTTCAATGATGTCAAACATTGCAATAATACCTGAAAGGCGGCGATATTGGGTCTAGACATGTCTTGCAGCGGCCATTTCCGCCTCTTGTCGCTCGTGTCGAGGTGGCGACTGATTCTGCCTTCCTTCACCCCTTGATGTCATTAAAACCAAGCACGAAATTATTTTTCTCGTCCGGAAACAGCTCAATGAAGAGGCACGCGCATCTCAAAGACGCGGAGGGTCGTGCTTGAAGATGGGTGCTCGCAAAATCGACCGGTCGGCTCCAGCCAGGCCGTTTAAGGCGCTTTACTTCTACTCTTCCAGTGGCACATTGCCAGATGATTATTGAACTCCTTTTGCCTTGAAAGGACATGTTGGATGCATCCAAATCCAGGTGGCACTCACTTTGCTCGTCGACCAATTTGGGCGAGTCCGCTCTGGTCGGTCCGACAATGCCCCGGTGTTCTCCCAGCAAGTGGCATAGCTTAGAGTGTCATATGATCTCTGGGGTAATCGTGGCAGGCACGGAGTCGCGAGAGGATGGAAATCCTCGAAGTGGCTACACCTGCGGCTGCGGCAGCTGCGGACAGGACGTTTTCAATCGTTTTCTCCGGAAAGACCGGATCGAAGCACATCTATTGACACGCACTCACATTAGAGAAACACGGTCCGTATGCTGGGCATGCTGCAGCGCGCCGGCAGCACCAAGAACCGCGCCTCGTGTCAAGATTCGCATCGACACAAGAAGCTATCTCGGCAAGTTTCTGTTTGGGTACCGTCTCACGAATGCTCCTCCGGATGCCTTCACGGACTGGGCGTGCGTCGAGCTGCTGCACCG